CCCCCCCCCCCCCCCAAACCCCCCCCCGGTACTAAGTTTGCCGAGCCATCTGAGTTCTTCAGGTGCTTCCGATGGTCGGCGCGGGGGTGCCCCCTGCAAGGCTCCTGCAGCTCCCCAGAGAGCCCAATACCCCTTAATTAAGGAATAAGTTTTCTCTTATTGGGCTTAAGAGGATCTTACCTACTAATTTTTTTGCAAGGGCTTCAAAAGCCCCTCCTAGGAATATACTTTAAGTTATCAGGGGATTCCTTTGATGATTTAAGCCATATTCCTTAATTAAGGGGTATTGGGCTCCTGCAGGTTTGGGATGATTTAGGGGTTGAGGATTTTGGGTAGGGGGGCCCGGGGCGGGCGGGCTCCTGTCCTTGCAGCTTTTTGCAAAACGGGTCCTGCAATTTGAATACACTCTCGCAAAAAATCACAGTGGCAAAAAATCACTCAGCACCCAGATAGCCTAATACTCCTTAATGAAGGAATATAGCTTAAATCATAATATGAATCACTTTATAATTTAAGGTGTATTCCTTTTTTAAGGGGCATTGGGCTCTCTGGGCAGGTACAGGATGGCCCTCTACTTGCCACTGTTGACAGCGGTGTTTCCGCATTACCTTCACCTTGGGCGAGTGCGGCTGCGGGGTTGGGGTGTGGAACACTGGTTCATGGCCTATGGCACCTCGGAAAGGGCTGGTCAACAGTTTATCACGGGGATTTCCGTTTACGAGCTTGGCTCAGCTTCTTGTCGCGCGAAAAGGCTCGAGCTCCCAACCATTGCCGGCCAAGGCGCCTTTGCTGCGACAGCCCTGTTGTTCTTCTGGCTGTGTTTCTTCTGCTGCCGGTTCAGTGTGAAGAAGATCCGCAAAGCCACGGCCTTAGAGTGAATTGCAAGACCGCGGTCTAGGGCAGCTTCTTTTGCAAACCCTAAACCCTAAACCGCCTAAACCCTAAGCCCAAAACCCTAAACCCTTCTGTTCCTGTTGCGCTGCCTTAGGCAGTCCCCAGATGGGTCGTCATCCCCTTCCTGCAATCTTTGATCCTCTTGCTGACCTTCACCTTTTGGATCCCGTTCCGGGCAGTTCTTCGGAGGACCGGGAGCAGTTTCTTGGCACTTGTTCAGGATTTGAATGTCGAAGCTACATGATCAAACGGAAGCCTAGCTTTTTTGCTATACATAGATACCTATGATGGTGTCTTAGCCAGTAGGAGGAGACCCCGTGATTCACAATAGATCCCCAATGTAGTAGATTAAGTGACGTCCCTGGACCCTAAGCCCCATGGTCTCCGTCAGAGATGCTTGCAGATCTGTCGAACAAGGAGTTCAATTAAAAGACCTAAAACCCTAGGCCCTAAACCTTGTGGCCCCAATGTTCCTAAAGAAGATCGAAGGTCTGGCTGGTGGTGTTGTGATGTCCTGCATGTGGCTCATCCTCGCTTGCATCTACTCGACTCAGCCACTCCGTGCTTGCCGCAAAATTGGCCAGTAAGGAAAAAGGCGGCTCCGCATGTTTTTAAAAGTCGGGCGCCTCGTACGCTCAAGCAACTGAGAGCGTGAGAGATTGCTTGGAGGTTCATGGGTACTTACAAGTAGGGTTAGAAGTCCCCTAATATGGAAGCCTACTTATAACTACCCATGAACCTCCGAGTGGGGTTCCGTCCGAAGCTTACCGCGAAGGGTAGCCGAAGCGGCTTCACACCCTCGAGGTAGGCGACCTGCCTTTTCGAGTGAATCCAGGAGTCGGACGATAGGAGATCCCTTAGTCAAGGGTCTAATAAAAAAGGGCCCTACATCAGGTGGGAGTTTCTGAAAACAGGGTCCGACCCTAACATAAGGACCCGAAAATAAGGTACCCCTGATTTTCGGAAACTCCCAGGTAGATTGGGTGCGACCTTCAAAAGCGAAGTCTCTTTTCCGACTCTGCTTTAGCGGAGCTTGGATTTTCAAGAGAGACGAATACCATAGGGGTCGGTGCTACTCATATCGGCCCCTATATGAACTTCTGTCAAGTCTTGCTCAAGTCCCCGGTTGCCTCGAAAAGGGCCGTTCTCTAAGAGAGTGGCTCCAGCATGGGTGTCCGCGGCCGCCTGCGTTTGAACAGCTCTTGGCTATTGGTTTCTGCTGTGCCGTCGGGATACCGGAGACGCAGCATGCGAACCCGGAAGGGAGCTAGAAGCATGAATCCAAAATCCTAAAACCCTAAACCTTCCTTGGCAAGTTGCACTTACTTGTGACAAGGCTCCTTCGAAGCCGCGAGCTTCGCAACATACGAATTACATCGCCGATGTCAGGCGGTGAAAGCGTCGAATTGGCAACGGCATCTCCCGTATTTCCTTTTGAAGCCAGTCGGGATCTGGCATTTAGGGACATCTCTGAGCTGATGACTGACCGGGGATCTGTGCAAGTATATGATCTGCAGTTGAACCCCACACCTCAATTTGCTTTCCGTGCTCAGAGAAGGCCCGCGATAAGATGCTGCCCGATCATGACGACACCCCCGCCATGAGGGGTTCGCAACGGGGCGATGGCTGAAGGTTTCTAGCATAGGAAGACGCTGTTTTAAAAGCTGTTGTGTTATTATTAAGAACTTTTGCTCGCCATTATTGATTCAGCAATTCCTCGTTGAAAGTGCGAAATGTAATGGGATCTACATACCCCAAGCGTCCCTAAGCCCAAAACCCTGAACCCGGGCGCTGTAAGTTAAGGAATGTCAGTGAGAAGGAGACGGGGTTCCCAGATCAAGTTCCTACACCACTCCCTGGTGCTTAGCAGGGAATGGGGGAATGGATCCCTATATAGTAGTCCCTTCTCAAATCCCCAACAATGGTCCCCATAATCCAATCCCCATTCCCTACTAACCAGGGAGACGAGGAGTGCTGAGGATGGGTTTAGGCTATGCCTATGCAGTACTAGCCGGCAAGTTGGAACATAATCCTCATGGCCTTCAGGTAAAGTATAGGAAATCCTAGCACCAAGCATCCTAAATCCATGTTCCAACTTTCGGGGTTCGCTGTAGGGGTTTAGGGGTTTAGGGTTTAGATGAAGATGTGCGGATGTGTTCTAGAGGAAGTCTGTTTCGCTGGGACCAATTCGTAGTAGTATTCCCTCATAGTCCTTCTACAACTATGACATTATTCCTCTGTGAAACCTTCAGGTGTTTCCAAGATGAGGAACCCCAGGAATGGGGATTGAGTGGCGGGAACCGCGAACTCTCTCGGAGCCCGGAACAATCGAAGGGCCCTACCGGTGGGATGAAGGTACGTGGGGCAATGTATGCAGAGCATCCTTAATGCTACTACCTTCGAACTAGAGAAGCTTCAACATTTCCCAATGCTATTCCTCAGGTTTTTTGTTATCTATATAGTGTACTGCAGCAGGCCCCCAAATCCTCAACCCCCTTTACCACCTGGTGAGGCCCGGGTTTATTGGAAGTCGGATGACTGCACAAAAGGGCCCATTCCGAAAACAGGTTTAGGGTTTAGGGTCTTAGGAAGCTTGGTTCATGGGTTGTGAGCTTAAGGCCACAGGTCCAGGGATTTGAATGTGCCGGGGCTTAGGTGTGTTCAGAGCCTGAGGGTTTTGGGTTTAGCCCGAACCACACCAACCCCATACAAAACAATCAACACCTTACAAGCCTTGTGCTGCGAAGTCTCTCCTGTTTGGAAGGATTTGAGACTTGGTCTACGCATAGTAGACCTGACCAGCAAGAGCAAAATGCAGGGGCCTGAAGAATTACTACTCCTCCTAGGCCCCGAAATTGTGGACACGGGTGCGTTTCAACTGGGGTCCCTAACTGGGGGCTCGCTTGCTTAGGGGTCGGATTTCCTGAACCCTAAGCCCTATCGCTAGGCTTGGCACTCGCGTGGAATCCGTCTACGGGAGCACCTGCTGCATGCATCTCGGGCAGCACAGGAGGCTCATCAGCCTTCAGGGTTTTGTTGGGCTTCGGGCCTGTATCAGACTTAGGGCTTCGGGCCCATATTCGTTAAACCCCCGAACCCTGAACCCTGGGCTTAAAATTAAATACTAAAGCCTTAAAGGAACCCTTATGGATCCCTTAAAGGAGCCCTTAAAGGATCCCTATACTGTGATTCCTTCATAAGAACCCCTTAACCCTAGTTGGGGCAGACGGTTTCGGGCTCAGCCTTTGGCGCTAAGGCGCCTCGGGCTGAGGAAACCTCGGGGTTCGTCGTTTTGATGATGCGCCCGTAAGGGTTCCTAGAGAAGGCCTAGAGGTACAGGGGCGTTTAGGCCTTTAGGGGTTTAGGGGGTTTGGGGTTTAGGTAAGGGTTCCTAGAAAGGGGCTCTGTGGTAGGACCTTATAGTGCTCTTTACCGTATGCTATAATTCCTTTTAGTGCCCCTTAAGGGCTGTAAGGGTTCGCACAATGGTTCCGTCAAGGCTATGTTTTCAGGTTCAGGGTCCGCACGATCCGGTTGGTTCACCACCAGTTCCCAGAGACTCCAACATCCCTTAATTAAGGAATATATCTTAACTTGTACTAGGATCCTTAATCTGATTTAAGGTATACTCCTCAATTAAGGGATATTGGAGTCTCTGGGTTTGAGATGTGACCGGGCTGCCGTCTGCGTCGAAATAAGCCAAACCGTGACTTGTTGCAGGGGGCAGGGCACGACTGCAGCTTGCCCGGAAACCTTTCATTCTGATCAAGCATGGTGTCCTGACTCACTGCATGCTGAACTCGCGGTTTGCAGACTTGGAAGAAGTTGGACGGTGCAGCCATGTGCAATGAGTGTTTTTTGAAACAGAGACTCTGCTCGCAAGCGCTCGTGCTGAGGTACTTGGCCACATACTTTGCGATGAAAGTCTTGCCGCTCGGAGTGCGCTTTTCTCTTGGGCAACACCTCATCAAGGGCCACTTAAACGTCAACTAGTGGCGGCAATTCAATATCCCCAAGCCCGAAACGCCTTAAAGCAGTTTGCGGAACACTGGTAAAACCTGCAAGGCCGTTGCGAAAGCCCGAACATATCACCACATCAAGCCGAAACGTGCGACTTTTTGCGAACTTGCCTTTGGAGAAAAACTGCTTAACGGAGGATTCCGATGAACATGGGCGAAGCCACATACCTGTGCAGCACCCCCTGGAACCCTCATAGAATCCTGAAAATAAGACCTCTATGCAACGCTAGACCCGATCCCGACGAGGGACCACTGCATCGATGTGGGGGTTTCCGAAAACAGGGGTACCTTATTTTGGGGTCCTTGTAATAAGGATCCTACTATTTAGGGTACTATATTAGGGTCCCCTATTTTCGGAAACTCCCATGTGGAATTGACCAGAACAGTGGCAGTTCAAGAGGTCGACAACCCAGACTTTCCAAAATCCCTCAGTTAAGGAATATACCTTAAATTATACTAGGATCCCTAATATGATTTAGGGGATATTCCTTAAGTAAGGGATTTTGGAAGGTCTGGGAAGCTCAGGACATGATTCTTAGTTCTGGTGACACGTACTACTGCGAGTAGGTTATGATTATGGCCCAACAAGGCTGCCAGACCGATTCTGCACCCTGCAGCACCGAGAACTGCCGAGGCACAACGAGGAGTTCCGAATCGACCGGGCGGCCAAAAAGCTTGCCGCCTATGCCGTTTCAGGCGACATGTGGGGGTTTCCAAAAATTAGGGGATCCTAATGTAGTATCCTATTTAGCAGGATAAGGGCCCCAAAATAAGATACCCCTAATTTTCGGAAACTCCCATGTCGGGTTCGGGGTTCGCTACAGGAAGTTATGAGAGACTCCAGCTGTTCCACAGCAGCCTGAAAAGAGCAATGCTGGGTCAGAGTTAGACAGATCCCAAACCCCCAAAACCCTGAACCCTGATCCATCTTTCAAAGGGATTAGGGTTTAGGGTTTCCTAGCCCTCGTAGAGCTTTAATTTTACTAAACCGCAAGACCCTGCTCTGAAACATGAAACCCCCTACATGATGGGAGGCCCTAACCCCAAACCCTCAACCCTAAATCCTATACCTAGGATGCCCAGTAGTACCCTTGTTCCCTTTTTGTAGTCCTAGGTTCCTTATGAAGTTACCCAATACCAAGAAGGGAGCCCTTTTTATTCCTAGCATCCTAGATACCCTAAGCCCAACGCAAGCAAAGTCGACGGCTCAAAGGCTCCCAAAGCGGCGCAGATCCGGCCTTAGTATAATACTCTGAAATATGAAACTCCCTACATGACGGTTGTCCGCCCCGCAGGCAAAGTCGAAGGCTCAGAGGCTCCAAACCCCCTAAACCTTAACCCTAAATCCTAAACCCTAAACCCTAAACTCCAAACCCTAAACCCTAAACCCTAAGCCGATCCGGCCAGGAGTGGCTTTCAGCATCTTCAGTGGGCTCTTTACGGTTCCGAGCACGCTGGGATGGCTGGTGGTGCTGCAGCTTCGGCCTTCAAAGCCTTTACTGTAGGGGCCTTTAGGTTTCAGGGTTTATTTCGGCCTTTTTGAAGCCTTTATTTTGTAGGGACTTTCA